TACTCGATACCTTGCACTGGATTATTTTAAGAATATAAGTTTTTCAGGTGGGTTTATTTTAGTTCCTCAGTGGGCACTGATCACAAGATTATATAAGACTGTCAAAATAACACTGGAAGAAAGTGCAAAACTGAGTGATTTGGATAAATAACTAGAGTCTCGATATTTAATCTGGATTGCCGAGCGTAAAATAATTAGTGAAGCAGCACAGTGGTACAACAGTGCTACTATCTCACTGCTACTGGGTGCTATGTTCTATTCTGTACTGGAACAGCTTTTGTAAGGAGTTTGCAGGTTCTCCAAATTTCTAATGACATGCTGTCCAGGCTATTTATAGTCTTTGTGTGTGTGTGTGTCCACAACGCAGTTCCGCTTTGTGCCCCATGCTTCTGAAATATGCTCTGAGTTCCTGAATTACTTTGGACAAGAACAAGGAGCTTGCTAACAATGGAAAGCTGGGAAATCATAAGTTGATAAGACATCATAAGACAAATACACAGCAATATGGAGATACTCACTGGAGAGCTGACCGATGATCTTCCACCTCATGGCCATCTGGAGCCAGGGGATTTGAGTACAGCTCACCTAAGGGGAGGGAAGGAAAACAAATATAAAGGTTATAGGAAAACGTTTTAAAAAGAACACCCCAGTTGAATAAGGTGCTGCCTAATGAAAAATTACAATAGAAATGTATAACATTTGCCAGAGAATAGCACTTAGAAATGTGTCCCTAGAGGCCTGACTGACTAAGGAAGAGGTTTATACAAACTCCCTTTATGGTATACTTGATTGAAATCATGCTCTTATAATCTTAAAATTAAGATGTTAATTAGAAATCGTATCTTAAAATTCTTGAATCCCTCTGAAGAGATCAAATTTCCCAGCGAAAAACTATTATTGATTTTTAAATCCAAAGATTTCTTTGAATGTTACAATGCTGAGAAGATCAATGCTTACAAAATTTGACAACACAATTATGAGGTGTACGATCATAAGAAAATTAAACATTATGAGGTAGTCACGACATAAAAATTAATTTCTGAACACACGTACATTCCCATAGACAACGGAGTCCCAATAGTAGTGAGGCCCACTATTAAAACTACAACGATTGTTGTCAAGCATATCGATGTACTGGCTATAGTTAGTCGTGCATTTAAATAATACAAACATTTACCGACAAAAAAAAAATTGACATTGGGCGACAGTACTAATTAAGAACAAAAACCCTGAACACCAACATAAACCAGTTCAAGTAAATCATTGCCCCTAATTCCAAGCTTACAGAGAATATTCAATCGATGTGTTTATCTAGCCATAAAAGCGATCGGATTTAATGAACTAATGTAAGTACGTTTGAAATTATACAATAACAAAGAACGCGTTTATCCTCGTAAACAAAATAACAGCAACATTCAAGTACTTGAGGTAAAATGCGAAAACAAAACTTACTGTCTCGTTCCGGCATTTTGAAGCGGTTTACGTTTCTCTGCTTCAAAGAGGATCCTTACATCTATTTTTTACGTTTTAAAACCGAAAATCAATCTGCAAATATTATTTTAGACACTTAAACACAGCAAATTACTACTCCATCCGTCGTCCACAAAACTCACTACCGGAAATGGCAGAACAGGAAAAATAATCGATCACGGTTGTCGCAATTCTGACTATCGACTAAGATTGCCTTGAAATACCCTAAAGACATTGGTCAGAAGCATCCTACTGTAATTGGTTATCACTGAGAGTCTATCTACTTTGTTCCCACGCTGATTGGTGAGTTGTTTACGCCCCTCTAAAATGTGATATGTGATTGGTTATGATGCTTTCCAATGTGATGCTCTTTAAGCACTCATTGGGTAAGGCGGTGCTCCTAAAGGAAGTGGTAGAGAGTATCGCAAATCTGTAGATTTTAAAGGTGAACATCATGGCTGCTGTTGCAAGAAGTATTGGGTCAAATCTTGCGAGAAACCTTAAAGAAATCCGCTTACATTTGTGTCAGACCTCGGCGGGTAGTCAAGGGGTCAGGTATGTATTAAGAAAGCAGGTATTGCTAGAACGACATTTTTTATCGCAATTTGATTGCTTGGAGAAGTCGTACAACTGTATTTAACAGTATAGAATGTTTTATGTTTTGCCGAAATTGTATCTCCTGTTTGCATTGGAAACAGTGCTTTTATAAACACTCAGTCTGTGAACCGCTGTCACTGGCTGCTGTTTCAACTAGGTATAGCAGATTCTCAATTTACAGGAATGTACTATATAAAAAATAAATAAATAAGTTTATTATATCTCTCATTGGGGTTGGTATTGTACATTTGGATAATATGTAAAAACGAAAAGCAGTATTTTATTTATTACCTTCTAATTCTTCCTAAATGTTTTGCAAAGTATGCTGGACAGGTCGGTTAATGGCAGACAGTGACATTTAAAAATATACGATTGTTTATTCTTTCGTTAGGGATTTCATCGAGCAGCACTATGTGACGCTGAAGAAAGCTAACCCTGAGTTTCCAATCTTAATCAGGGAGTGTTCTGGTGTTCAGCCTAAATTGTGGGCACGATACGGTGAGTCCGAGTACAGTACTTGAACAGGTGTACGACGATCAGTGGATTTATAAACATATTTACTGAAATCCAGTTGTAAGGGAATTCAGCTGGCATTGGGCCATAACGAAGACGGAAATTGGGAGCCATTTACTTAATTTACTCCTAAAATATACAGTTGTCATTTTGCTAGATGTACTGATTTAAACTTACATTTGGGTGGCTTTTGTTAATGGATCAAAACTGAATGATAGATGTTTGAGGACATTCAGAATTCAGCAGGAATGAAATCCAAACATCAATATAGTTCTTTGGAACCTTGGTTACTGTTTTGGATTCTTTAAATTCTGACATATTTACCAGGCATATCTACCATGCCTATCCTGTTCCTAGTGACACCACTGTTTAACAGAATATGCTGCACAGAAATTGCTGCTACACTAACATAACTAGACCTTTTTGATTCCACCTACAAATATAATCTTTGATTGTTCAGGAAGTGAAAACAACTCAAGTTAGTCTACTAAGTCGAAATTGTATTGGAACATGGAGATCTTAACATCTGGCATACACTTGGGGCATAAGGAGATGTATCACAAGTATCAAAATAAGGGTATTCCTCTGTTTTAACTCATAGGATGACCGAGCGGGGCTTGAATTGCTGCTTTTGTGTTGCAGAGTTTGGCAAAGAAAAGAGTGTAGCTCTGGACAACATGAATGCTGCCCAAGTAGCCAAGGCATTGGAGTCTGTGGTTAATGCTAAACCATGAAGAGAAGCAGAAAAGGAAGTTCTGTGCAGGTGGTGTCTGTGCCCTGTATTTTGTGGACTTTGGGTGAACGGTCTGTTTCAACCCCAATGCATTGATATGCCAGTGTACAATAAAATGTATTTAATGACAAATGAGTTTTTGCGTTTTCTTGCTTAACAAAACTATAACTTCAATAAATCACACACAAACTAAATTAGAATATTTTATTAAAATAAAACAAATACACTTCATATGATAATGCATACTAAATTAAGTGTTCCATTTGCTATTTTTCAAGGACTAGAGGATTGCAGAAGGGGCGGGGAGGCAGAGCCAAGGGTAATTTTTATAAAATACATTCAGGGGCATACTAAATGACCAGATTCTCTTGGGTTTATATTATAATTGAATATCTTTTAAGTTGGTAAAAAAAAATGCATTTTTTGCATTTTGTGAATTTGCATTATTTGCATTTTTTTGAGAAGCCACCTTTAAAGGTGCTATATAATATAAAGATTATTATTATTATTATTATATTAAGGTGTCTACCTTAAACTACCATTTTATAATTAGTTTTCTATTTCATGATGACAATCTGGAAAAGTTTTTTATAACCAGAAAATTATAAATTACATTCTCTGTAACAGGGTTTTTGATAAATGTGACTTGCAGCAGTTTGTATTTGAGTTGATTTTTTTATAACATAAAATCTTTTCCATATAAGCGTAATGGCTAAAATAGCCATATAGAAAAGAAATTTGCATTGCAAAATTAAAGTATGTTCCCTGAGAACCTTTAGCATTTATGACACAAAGCTTTCTTCTTGATACTGCCACTTAGCACAACATGGTTGGGGTGTCATTCAACAGGAGTATTTGCCTTTAAAACAGGAAAAAAATTAAACTCATTTTACTGCTCTCAAACAACAGGCATACATGATGGATATATCTCATACATGAATGTGGAAATAACTTTTCTGTAGTGCACATTTCTTAGATTTAATTCAACAACCAACATTAAAAGTCAATAAGGGATATTTTACATAAAGTTCTGTTAGTTTCCACATCTGTGGAATCAACCACGCACTCAACAACATTTTGAAATCAGTTCCTCCGCAAACTCCTTAAAACATCTGCTCAAGCAGCTGTCCTTACCAGGACCTGTGGGGAGAGATATCTATCCAGAATGAAAGTGGCCCGAATCCTTAACTCCTCCTGGCTGTTATACTGGATGGCCTCTAGCAGTGAAATCCCCTCCTGCTTCACAAGCTCACAAGCAACCTATGAACACAGTGCATGGAAAAAGAGATTTGCTGTTATGAGTTGGTGTAATACATACATGTTCAAATCTATAAATAGTAGAAAAGAGTTTTAAATCAACAGAAAAATCAGGAATAAATAAAACTCATGCCTCACTGGCTTAGTCTGGCTTTGATCATCTACGCTCTGAGGGGCAGGTGCTACCAGCCCTAGTGTGGAAATACAACTACCAGAAAGACAAAACACAATTCTGAATAGTTCCAGTATCTTCTGTCACAGCACACATATGGAGAAAATATAACAAGTTCTAATAACTTGGAAAAAAATCATCTAGGCTTTCGGTATCACATTACCTGGGAGCTGCCAGCCACTATCATGTGCAGCAGTTCTAGACTAAGATGTATAATTTCAGGATCAGCCATTCTGAGCGTTGTGTGAAGAGCTGAAAGCACCCCTTTCTGGTGCAGCTGCTGGCAGTACTCCGGTCCTTTCTTAGCAGTGTTGCATAGTACACGCAGGGCCTAAATTGAAAGAGGCATAAAAACCTTAAAATGCATTACAAAAAATACGGTGCTTGAAATAACCCGATCCCCACGTTTCTTACCATAATGTTTATGCCCTTGGAGAATGGCAGCAGCTCAATCAACACAGGTACCAGGTTTAAGTATAGCAGCACTGAGCAGAATATGGCATCTTCAGCTGGACAGAATCAGCGGAACACAAAACATGTAAGGCTAATACAGATGTATCACTTCCCCAGCATACCCAAGTCAAGCACGTGAGAATACAGGGTCACTGACTGGTAGGTAAGATATTGATATAATTTAAAAGATGAAAAACTATACTTCCACAGTGGATTAATCTCATCTGAGAGAGAAACCAACTTTCTGCAGTGACTGATTTCTTATGAGCAGTTTGAACTGCCATAATCGACACCATATACCATCTTACACTATACAAAACCTCAGTTTGAGTAAAAACAAGCAGAAACGCTTGTAGTACAAACATTTTCTATTCAAAGCAGGTGACTGTGTACTCTGCTAGAGCAAGTATCACCTTACATATTCATCAGGAAATCCAAAAAGGAAACTAGGCACTATAATAACTCACTTCCAGAAAAGTTTTTCCTTCAGATATAAAAGTTGGTTGCTACCTGTAAGATTATTCATGACCCATAGGCTTTCTCGTGCAATGTATGTCCGCGTCTGCAGAAAAGCCTGAATAAAGGCACACAGCGCCACCAGCAGCCTGCTGTCCCTGATCTGCTCTCTACAAGCTTCGCCTCCAGTGCCCGCTAGCAGGTTCCCAAGGCAACGGAGCAAGGGAGAAATCAGCTGCAGCATTTTCAAAAAAACAAAAAACAGTGGACTTTTTTAACGTGCAGGACTGTTGGCTTCCATGAGGGATATACTGTATGCTTCACCAGAAAGAACACAAACAGCACTTTACTGAAACTCTGAAAGTTTGTCCTGTATTTAACCTTCAAATATTAATCAAACAAAGGGTTTTGAACATCAATAGAGAACTCTATCAGCCATACAGAGTAATTGCCAAACTAATTAGAATAGTATGCTGTGCAAAACATTTATTTTTAAACACATTCTGTTTGTTTTCCCACATCTCAGATTTTTTTTCAAAGAAATACTGGCTTGTTTGAATTTGCTTGATAATTATACTAAGGATGCTGCAAATGTTTTCCACTATATCTAAGGAAAGAAACACAAAAATCTGTTCTAGTACTAGGTTATGTTCAATTTTCATTAACCTACATTTAACACATGACCTCACTTCTTTGTACTGACTCCAAGACTCAGTTCCACCTCCACACTTAGTGGAAACTGTTGTACCTGGATTTGTATTGGAGATTAAGAATGGTGTATTTTCCAGTTGTAACCCACTGAACCTGCAGTTTAATAACAATTGTTATGCTATTTAATGCTAAGCTTCCTGTTTACAGCTTTTCCACGGGATGTAAAAAACAAAATAACAACAAAAAATATTAAAAATGGAAATCAGTGTAGTAATTAAGAAAAATGTGGCGGGAAATGTATTCTTAGCATAGAGATTAATCCCAAATCCCGATTAAAAAGAGGGAAAAAAAACAATGGAATGTTCCAAAAATAAATATCAAACAGATGTTTTTCAGGAATAGTTAGTGTTAGATTGATGAAACCTATGGATTTTTGACAGTACTCATCATCTTCCTGGACAAAACTATCAGTGAATCAGGTTTTTTTGTAAGGATCAGGACAGGTCATCAGGTCCCCTTAATCACAGTTACTGATACCCCTATTCTCTATCTATCCTAACTTGAACCTGTCACCTTAGGTCTTAGATTTCTGTTCCTTTTTCCTCAACTTTCTTTTTCTTGCCCCTCTCCCCAAACTTTCATGGTATCTTATAATTTTTCCTTCATGGACCTTATACTTTTCCCTTATAGATAAATATAGGAAATGTACTATTTCCCTATAGTTAAATGTAAAATGTTCCCTAGCCACATGTAAACCTGTATGCAGAATTTCTGCTTTTAGCAGAAACAAGACAACTTGGTATCCTTGTTTTACCTGCTCAATACCTTCCTCCGAGAACTCTGATGCTACAGCACCACCCAGCGTGACCAGCAGAGAACTGCTCTTAAAGATGGCACCTTGGGCAACCAGTAAATCAACATTAACATTGCTGTAAAAATAGAAGGAGATAAAGCTTTGGTCATAATCATTTGAATTAATTTACAGCATAGACTCATTTAGAATACTGAGGTGCACCTGGTGTAAGAAATAAGCATGCCAGTCTTACTCAAATGCTACCATAACAGTAATATATTGACCATTTACTTTGATTTGCTTTATCTGGTCAATTAAATAACATCTACACCATCTACACTCTAAAACTGCATATTTTCCAAGATTGTCTAAAGCACTTAAATTTAAAAAATGTTCATTTTTAGAGACAATTTAACACAGAGCATATATAAATGAAGTGTTTACAAGGCCTGTACCTCTGATAACCCTGCACATTTAAAAAAAAAACAAAGGTGCAGCTAAAATGATAAAAGACTCACCTGCTGATGAGATAGTGGAGACACCAAGCACATTCTACAGCTGTCCCAATCCCACACTCGGGATTAGACTGCAACGCTGACAGCAAATCTTGGGTCACACCAGACTGTAGGACTAATCTGGGGGGAGGAGGAAATGTATGAGCAATGTATAAGTGAATCAAATTGTAATTGAATTGTGCAAATTCTAAACTTATATACATAATACTGGTTCAGTTTTGGGTTTGTCTGATGGCCAAATTGAGAACACAGTGATTTAAGAAAACAAAAGGCATGGATCAGTGGTAAATACTAATAGAGGTGCGATCAAGGCACCTGTAGCTCAGATGAAAAGAATCATAGAAGACCTCCTGGCATTAAACATCCTAGTGTTTCCATCAAACTGAAGGCTGTCCAAGTCACATTCCGGAAGTCATAGACTATGGAATCAATGTTGCTCACGGGATTATTTTTTCAGGAGCCTCTTTAGCTTGGAGAAGCTGGGAGAGCGCATATCCCACTGCTTCCGTGACGGCCACATGAGGACACTGAAACAAAACAAAGGCACGAGCAAACAACTTGTCTGTAAGCGTTTACAAGTGAACGACGTTGAAAAGTATGTTACAGTTTAAAAAGCAACATGATAATAACCAAATCATCTTAAAGCTTTCACAACAGTTGCATTTTAAACAAAATGCCACAAAATCCAACAGCCTATATTCTTATTGAAGTAGAAATATACCAAATTGTGATCCAAAGTAGGAAGGAAAACAGATGTATTGACTGTATATGTCAAGCCCAGTGAAGGCAGAAGAAAAAAGATGAGGTTTACCAACATCTAGCAATTTAATGAAAAAGCTGACCATGCAAGGGCTGTAAAAAAGATCCAGTCCAAATGTCATCGAACTCAATCCTTAAGACTTTATCAATTTCATTGTTAATACATAAAATAGTGCAGAGATACACTGTTATCTGACTCGGTGTAGAGTAGACACCCCTGCTCAGTCACCTCTACTCTCATCCCCAGATTTAATTGGGTGTCCTGAAATAAAGACAGTTCTGAGCTGGCCTTGCAGAGCTTAGTGAATTCTGAATTACTGAAAAACCAGGTGGGACGCTGTACCTGTATACAGCTCGCCAGGGCTGGGATAATGCCCTGGGCCAGCAGCTTTTTCCGAATGTCCTCGCTCTCCGCACTCAGGTTTCCAAGGGTGTATAAACACAGCTCCTACCAAAATACAGAAAACATACGCTTAGGTTGAATGCAGTTAGAAAGAACAGAAATCAGCCATTAAAAAAATATTATTACTGTAATTCTTTGAGCTACACCTCTACTAAATACATAAATAAATTTCTACTATTACACCCACGCCCATTGTTTCTTTACCAAGTCGTTTAACTAGATGCGGATAAATGTGCATTTGCATTTTTTTAGGTAGGGTTGTGGTCTGGAGGAGATGCATTTTCTCAGTCACGGAGAAGCTGTAAACCCCAAGAGGTGAAAGGCACATACTTACTGTCAACTTGGGACTCTGACCCGCAAGGAATGTAAGGAGGTATGGGGTGGCAGGTAGGCAGGCCAGGGGGACTGTGGCCTCATCAGAGTGAGATAGCTCATGCAGGCAGTAGGCTGCCTCCAGCTGGTGTACTGCATTGGATCCACTGAGCAAGCCCACCAACACATGCATACTGTTCTCCAGCCTGCAGAAGTCCAGAAGTCCACTGATTAATAGAGGGGAAGATCGGCAGCACTCCTTTCTCTAAGATGACAATTATGGCTGAATTAGTGGTTTATACCACAGAATTCAGCTCTTGTGTGGGGGCCTTGCTTTGTCTTGAAGTCCCTTTTTGACTCATAAAAGGGCTTGTGTTTCTTACTTTGAACAAATTTTTTTTTCTTTTTTTATTTAATAAAAAGAAAAAGTCAAACCTCTGTCAAATAAGCAAACAGACCAGGTCTAGATGGTTTAAAATTAAAAACAGCAGAAGCCAGTTTCTTAGCTCTGTTCAAGTGCATTTGAAATTTAAATGAAAATGACCAAAAACCAACTGGACACTGTCTTGCCTTACTTTACAAAGGTGAGCTGTGTCTTTTTGCAACGAAGAGCCCTCCTCAGAGTTCGCAGGTGATTCACTCGTTCCTCACTGCTGTGCTTGATCCCTTGGAACAGCTGCATTATCTTATAAAGATACATGGGTAAAACTCACTAGAATTGTCACCAAATTCAAATGAAAACATAACAAAAGTGTTGCTTATTGACGTCCCTATCAAGATCTACATCTTCATATCTTCATGTAGCTCCAGAGGCAGCAATCAGCTTCAACAATGGTTACTGGACAGACTACACAGAGAAAGCACATTTGAAATGATAGATACAGTAAGACTGCCGTTGTACATTATGGTTAGCTTCAGTACATCAAAGTGTCTGATCTGTAATGGCTGACCTGTTCCTTTGTCAGGAGGCCCTCTGCAGTTTCCACAAAGTCATCTTCATCTGCTTCCTGTAGCCTCCTCTTGCTGACCAGCTGCTGGTCCCTCCGAGCCTGTCTTAGGGCTTAAAACAGATAACTGTTACCGGAACACTTTTCTCAGGAATAAGACATTAATTGCCCTACTTTAAAATTGTAGATGGTGTGAGATTCTAATTCTACTGAAATTGTATCTACCACAAACCTCCCCTGACTACTGAAATATATTTTATTGCGACCATAGTTACAACACAGCTCTTTCTGACTGGTGCACAGTTTTGTTTTTAATTTTGTAATCAAACAGACTGCTGGCACATGTACAGAAACACCTTAATTGAACTACAAACCAACCAAAGTTTTTGTTTTAGACCAAAAGACAACACTGCCACAGACCGAGGAGTACAGCGTGATTCGGTTATAGAGGAATGTGTTAAGGTACTGTAAATAGACTGCGGGTAATTTCAGGACTAACCTTTTTCGTGCTCTCTTCTACTGATTTTAAGCTCCTCCAGGTTGGTCCCTTGAGGGCGTAGTTTATGCCGGACAACATTTAACCTCCACATTTCCTATAAATTTAAAGATAGCTGAAAACAGAGACAAAATAAATATTCATTTAATCCGTTAATTCAAAGTTTATTTTATTGCATTTTCTACACTAAATTGGCGAACGTCAACGTTTGGCGTTAGAGACAGAACCATTACGTTCGGTCACTTATATTTGCAAATTGTGGCTAAAACAATTCATATTCAATACCACAAAAGATCATGATCCGTTTTTTTTATATAATATAAAACAGCAGCCAATGTTAAAATAAACACACACAGGACAGTTGTGTGTGAAACAGCGACATTCATCACTACAATCAGGCAAAACAACAATACATTCTGGAAGAGAAAGTTTTCCGTGACTCATCACTGCAAATTAAAACAATAACAGATACATTTGATACATACGACATAGAATAAGATTTTGGTGTTACTGATAACTTTTAAGGGTTCTTAGGACGTATATTAATATAAAATTTATATACGATCATTCCTACGAATGTTTTCAGGCTGCTGTGGTTAGATATTTGTGTTGACTGGTTTCCTACTACACTAAATTACACGTAGAAAAACGGGCAGATAACGACTGCTGTATTTACATTCACAGATTAAACCTAATCCTTCAAAACTATCCACAAACCCCAGTCTGCGTCGCAGGTTTATGAGCTCAAATTGAAAATACAATCTTTCAAGACGCCATCTAGCGGTGAATGAAATTATTTGCTGAATGTACCGAAATACAAATAAATGTTTGTAAGTGCCCTATTTTTATGTTTGAAAAGGGTATGTTGTCCCAGTGAGCGTCGCGATTTTAAATATATACCAAAACCTATTTTTATTCTAATATAAATAACACTACTATTCTCACATTTAAACTAGGTACTATTAAGAAAAATGTAAACGTTTATAAATATTGCCGTGCTATTTACAAATCATCCATTCTGAAAAAAAGCCATCCATGTTATTTATAACCCAATGATGTTATTATTATTGAGCGGAACCAAATACACTTCTGTTTTGAAACAAATTTTTTAAAATTCCCTCAGACCATATGGTGCCTGTGGTTTGGAAATCAGTTTATCATCAAATGTGGTCGTTCTTTTTGAGCCAAAATATTTTTAAAACCCCTTAGGTACGTTGCACAACCGGCACAATTGTGTTTATCTTAAAAATAACTAGGGGAATATTAGCCAGTTTCATATGCAAACAAATTACGACTACCAGTTTAGTCAAAAAGTAAACTTTCATTCACGTCTTCCAAAGAATTTAAAAAAAAAGTCAGAAAAGGGAATGACGCAAATAATAGTGTCTTGTTAAATGTTAGAAAAACGTCTTATAAATGTAAGAAATAGTGTATTATTGTATGACACAGCAGTAAGGACAGGGGTTCAATTCTTGGGGCACTACGTGAAGATTGTATTTTATCCAGGTGCTCCAGTTCCTCTCACAGCGAAAACATACTGGTAGGTTAACTAGTTTCTGGGAAAATTGGCACTGAATTGGAAGAGGTGAATGATATTATCCAAAATCCAGACAAAATGTTGGGGTACATAGCTAAAAGTCTAGAATTTAAGATCAAGCCATAATGTAAGTAACATGATTAAAATCTAATTAACAATATTGAATAGAGATGACTGTACCACATTATTAGAAAAAATAAATTGCTGTTCTGGAATCAGAACAATAATGTACTACACATTATCAGGTTTGTCTCATATGACAGGTTAAAAACTTCCTTGCTTCTTCTCGCATCTGATCTCAAAAGCTAATTGGGCCTGGTCAGAACTGAGATGGAAGACCTGTCAGGAAAACCAAGTTGCTGCTGAGAAAACGGTGTTGGTAGATGTTTTCACTTTTCCCTAAGGATCAGAATTTCCCAGGCAATGGCCCAGTATGGTGACTGTAGACACTGTGCTTTAGCTGGTTCCATCCTTCAGACGATGAGTTAAACCAAGATTGTGATTATTAGGTCATTAAAGATCCTGTGGCACAGGGTAAGGTAAGAGACTTAACCTTGGTGTCCTAAAATCCACTTTGGGCTTTGCTAACCAGACCTGCCTTAATTTTCCCCTTTATTAGTTGGATGAATTAATTTCTTGTTATTTTGGCTTTGTTGTGGGTGCATAATGGTTGCGAGCATAACCCAAGGTCGTACAGCACGAAAGTAGTGGATGAAGTATTTCCCCTCCCATTTGTGAAGTGCTCTGGGATCACTCGGGATGAAAAATACTGTACAAGTGAAAATAATTGTTACTGAATTTTTTTGGTCATCAAAAGAAAAATAAATCTATTAGGAGGCCTGTGTCATGGATTCAAAATCCTCAAAGTATTGAGTAAACTGTTGAGCAGTAAAACACAAACCACCTGAGACACAAGAGGCAACTCAGGGCTGTGTTCCCTTGTACAAGGTTGTGGGAGTCTGCAACAAACTAGACCAGAAGAAATGTCTGGACAAATCAATTCACTAAATATAAACAAATGGGCTAGATGGGCCAAATGGATAATTTAATTTATAATATTTCCTGAAATCAGATACCAGTTATGCTGGTTTCTCATTTGTCTCCCCCCTTCCCTCTGGTGTTATAGGAGCATAAAGGCACAAACTTCCAGATTCAGAAACTTTCTTCCCACAAACTGTCAGATTAATGAATTTAACCCCTGCCACTGGCTCACACTGATGTTTTTTTAAGTTGTACAGTATGTTATATAACATGTGGCTGAAGCTGCCGTTCTGTGTTTGTTTTTAACTGCACTTGTGGCTGTGACAATAGAACTGAACCGAGAACTGAGAATTCTTACTAAACAACATGCCCAATACAATTAGTGAATGGTATGTGTTACATATTCCTTTTAAAACAATTAAAATATTACTTTGCATCACAATGACACAGAAATTACGTAGTTGTGTCTTGATTTTTTATAATTTATATATGAGGTAAATTTGAAAATGTTCTAACTGTTGTAAAAATAAGAACTCAATGTTAAGAAAACGGACTCCCAATTTAGCCGCCAGGTGCCTAATCTTCACTTAAATTTATTTCAATTCATCTTCAAATGTAAACCAAATTCAAAATAGATCTCCACTTAAGTGTGTATTCTCTACCTTTCTCAACTGAAATAAAAAAAACTCAAAAAATATTCTGAAAAAATATTTATTAAAACATTTTATAAGACAGATAAGACAGATATTGAAACTGACAATTTTTTTTACAATAATAGCTGCTGAGTTTATTAATGATGAATAAGGTAATGTAAAAAATAATCTTCAGTCAATGAAAATTAAGTGCTAGGCTGAAAATTGTTTAATTTTTTTTGTAAATGCATAGAGTCCCAAGTAAAATATATTTAATATTAAATATCATTGTCAATGTAAACATATTTAGACAAACAGATTCCAGCCACTATTACACATTAAGTAAATCTTTATTTTCTATTTCATGTTGTTTAAATACATTTATAAAATCCAATATAGACACCTGACATCAGCTTTCTCAATGTAACTTACAAAACTGAAAAAAAAATCACAGAAGGCTAAAATCTTTTTCTCAATGATCTGAACAGATTTCTTTCTTAAATGAAAATTTCATTAAGAGCAGTTGTTGGATGGGATTCTCCTTTCTTTCAAATTTGTTGTTCCATGAGATGCATAAAAAAGTACCTCACCTATAAAATAAAAAATAAAAATAAAAGAATTTTATATAAAAGTCTGCACAAGCAAATGTTCCAAGAAATAAGGTGTTGTCATCATTTCAAAGTAAATATTTACAGAATAGTCAATACCTTGTCAGTAACAGATGGATGTAAAAGCATAAAACTACATGAACATATAAGAACTACAAAAAAGAGACTCAAGTGTGAAAGTGTCTCAATCTCAACACCTTCTTCTGCAAGAGCTGCTATCAGAATTTCAGGATTTGGCTTTTATATAGACTCACTCACCAGCATTTCACTTCGAATGAGCTATTTGTTTTTCGAAGACTTCTTTTTCTGAAAGCAAAAAAAAAGTTGCTTTATTCACCAGTACAAAACAAAACTCCATTTTGCACTTCTAAGTCCTACAGATAACACTAGAAGTACCGAACAGCTGTAGAAAATGTAGCAGTACCAAAAAAAAGGACAAGATTATAGATATAGTTGTGAAAATAAAAGCACACATGGGACTACATTGCACATTGAAACCAGTGGTTACCTTGTCCGACAAAGCACTGATCAGTGCCGGGCTGGTTCCCATGGAGGATGGCGTGTCAAAAGGAATCCCTTGAGAAGGGCGGAAAGGGGTCTTCTTGATTTTTGTCTTCCTTTTGCCTTTCAATTTACTTTTACCTGTACGGTAAATAATAATATAAAAAAAAACAGAATAACGAGAAACATGTCATATCTAAGAATGTACTTAATGTTGATTTCCCCTGAAGTAAATTTCCAATATATTTGAGGTTAAAGCCTTTGGAAGTATTTGATAGACGTATCCTCTCCCAAAAAAACCCCACAAAATTCCCATAATACCAATCCGTTAGTGGAGAGCTTTTAATGATGGACTCCTTATTAATCTTCCCCCAGCTGGCTAGAAATACATTACAGTATGTCTGTCTTTCTTTGGATACTTGTGCTAAGACTTACTTTTTTTATTTTCCTTTCTCTTCTCCTTGTCTGCCCTCGGGCTTGATTTCGTGATGATAGGCACCACGGGGCCGCCGTTCTCACTGGCCGTTTTCAGTTTTTTCTCCTTCTTCTCTTTTTTGTCTTTCTTCTTCTTTTTCTTTTTGGCCACGGGGTCCTTGTCCGGCGTAGCTGCTCCCACATCGGCTGCTGCTTTCCTCTTTTCCACTACCCTTCGCTGCTCCTCCTCCTCCTCCGAAGACGCACTCCTAGGCCGCTCTGCCAAAAGCACTTTCTTTCTCTCCTGGGCCTTGGAGGCGGTGGTCACCAGCGTGTCCTCTGCGTTGCTCTGGGACGAGGACGAATGGTGGTCCACGAGCGACAGGAGGTCCTCGATGGTCGCGGGTGGCTCAGTCTTCTTGGCTTTGCTCGCCGAAGGCTTGGGGGCTTTCTGTTTTGGTGTCTGTTTCGCTTTTTGCCCAGATGCATTAGACATGGCCTTCTCTTTCTCCTTTTTCTTCTGCGTCTCTGCAGCCCCCGTCACAGTGCTGACGGCAGGCTCTTGGAAGGAGGCCATTACTGAGATGTCACTGTCTGTGAACGACCAACAGTTCAGAATTAATTTCACATATCCATCCGCTTGAATGACTTTTTCTGTGTAAATAGTTGACCACCCCAATAAAGCCCCAAGGTTTCAAATGAAAAACAAAAGACAGGAAAGAAAGGTCATGGATGTACAAAAACACAGTTTTCAAAGGGAAACCAAGCACCTTTCTAACTGTTATAGTCACTATAGTTTTGCATTTCAGACCACATTAGATGTTCTCCTACTCCAGCCTGCACTCATTTCTTTGATGCAGTTAATGAGGGTTAAGGTATTATATTATAGCTCATTAAGTACAGGAAACATATTCACAGAGGTGGTGTAAGAGTAGTTTGAAGTCAAGAGCTTGATGTCTTGTCTGCAAATCCTTTTAATGCAATTATACCTCTTTCTTGCAGAAAGTCTCCTGTCTATAGAAAATTCACTTCATATTTAATTGCATATATACAGTATCAACACTTAATTAGCGTCTACTATAGATTGAACACTTTCCATGTTCAAGCAAACATTTTGCTTCAGAATGGCTACTTATTTTTTATTAAGTTCAATTTCAATATGGGCGGAGCGGTGGCTCTGTGGCTAAGGATATGTGCCTGTGACTGGAAGGTTGCCGGTTCAAATCCCGTGGCCGGCAGAGGAATCCTACTCTGTTGGGCCCCTGAGCAAGTCCCTTAACCCTAACTGCTCCAGGGGCGCTGTACAATGGCAGACCCTGCGCTCTGACCCCAAGCTTCTCCCTGTCTTTGTGTCTGTGTCTCCATGGAGAAAAGCTGGGGTATGCGAAAAGACAAATTCCTAATGCAAGAAACTGTATAGGGCTAATAAAGAAACATTACATATCGGATTGTAATTACAGCAATCACCTTGGCTTGGAGTTTGCTAAATCTTGGTCAGTAAAGTTACTGAAGTTCGATTTTGTAATAGCAAATGCCCTTTCTCTTTGTTTGCCATTTAAAGTACCTGTGAGTGTTCTTGCCAGTAGTTTCCACTTCTCCACATCAGGGCCACTGCTGTCGGAGTCAGACTCATTGTTTGGCGGGACTGGCGCCGCCAGTGGGGAAGGCTTCTTCGTGCCCTTGGTCGCAGTAGCAGTTTTCTTATGCCCTGCTTTTGCTGCCGGATTTCTTGACAGAGAGGATTTCAGTGTCAGCTTGCTTTGTACAGAAGGTTGGACAGTAGCTTGCGTCAAAACGGGCTAGAAATCAACAGACAAATAAATATCAGTTAACAATAAAAAGCTATAACTTGTCAATATGGATTGCTGAGGATCTTGGGAATTTACTGTCCATGTTGAGTTGGAATTCAATACCTAAACCACAAGGAATACTACCATTGTATACTCTGTGATAAAACTGTGACTATGACTATTCTGTCTTTAAAAATGTTTCAGTTTGGCTCAAATTTTGAGATTTCATAAGATCAGGTTTTTAAAACTTCACACTCTCAGGTAAGAGTACAAAAGTCTTTCCATAAGTATTAACAGATTCTGTCTAATTTCAGTTTGCCTTCACCTGTTCCTCATCGTCACTGGAGTCCTCTGAACTGCTGTCGCTCTTGGATGTATTTTTCTTTTTGGGAACGGCATGGGAAGATATCTTCTTTGGAGTAGCTACTAAACCAACAGAAAAGCACATTCTTAAGTTAGGACAGATCATCCAGACAGTACAATGACAGAAGAATGATTCTATTCTTTTTTTGTGAGCAGAAAAAACAGAGATCAAGTACATATAATCCATGTCCTTTATGCATTTGATTCTGTTTTTAAAGAAAGGTTTTCAATACATTTTGGGGTTGTTAAAGTATCTTGTACAGTATTTGATCAGATCCAGTATTATTTCATACATCACATTTATTAACCCAATTGTGTACTGCAGTATACCTGATCATTTCTTGTAGAGTCATCACTCACACATTTATCTCCTCTCTGTGTTTACAATACCTTTGGGCATCTTCGCTGGAGGCTGCCGGTGTTCAAGGTCAGTGCTGCTGTCCGTGGTGCTGTCCTCACTCTTTGCTTTGGCTGAAGCAGGTGGGTCAGGATCTTTACTCTTGCTCTCTTCTGCAGTGCCTGCTTTCTTTGTCTTCGCTTGTGTTGCAGGAGGTTTTAACAAAGTCGATTTTGCCACAGGATTAACAGCCAAAGGATACGAGGCTAGAAGAGACTAATATATATGTTTTAGTTAGAAGCAAATCCAAAACAAAGTTCCACAGAAAGTGTGAACCTTATATGCAACTCATTTTTATCAGATTATAACAGGTTTCACACAATAACAGTCAAATCTCATGAACTGTTACAGAGCGCTAGTAAGGATTAGCAGATTTTGCAAAGCCAATGAGTACATGTGATTAAAATTGTATTGATACTGCTTCATGTATGATACTGACGAACTGACACCAGAGACGATTTTCTAGCCTATTAGAGCTGCTGCAGCACTGCATTTTTTGACTGCTTGCACAACAGACAGAGAAGTGTCATATATGAGCATATGCTTGTACATGTTTCCAATACTAAGGATATATTTAATTCAAATTAATTTAATGTGACCTGCTTACCTGCGAAGGCTCGTCTTCACTGGAACTGCTGTCACTTTCAGCTGAAGGCTTCACTGGAAGAGCATGAGATGTTGCTGACTGCTTTGGAGTTATCGCTAAATAAACAAAGCCAAAATTCAATGCTGAGCTTCAGACATTTTGTTCTATACATAGAAGAAGGATGATCAAATTTGCTAATCTAAACTAATATCAGTGAAGATACTGAGGGGAAAATCTCAAAATGAATTGGAAATGGATTTATATTAAATAATCATAGGTGGATATAGTAAGTCTTGCTAGATAAAACTGTAACTATGAATTTGATGTCATAATTCAGGTAACTATGAAAAAATCCTAATGTGTAGAGTCATTTAACTTAGGTGTTTTAAACTTAGTATAAGCAAGCATAAGCAGTCATTAAGGGCTGCAAAGGAACAAGTATAGGTTTTTTCCATTCTGAAAAGTGAAGAAAGGAAACATAACGTTTCGGCTGTGGAGCCTTCTTCGGGTGTGATGCTAGATCACAAGACAAAAAGCGCTGATCAGCTCCTCATGTTGTCACGTTAGCATTAACAGACGATACAACAAGTATGATATGATAAAGAGGCAAATGCACTGCTTTAAAAACCTATGGCAAATATTGGGAACCAGAATCGACTTAATTATTCATGGTAAGTAGAAACTGGAAAATCCCCTCTGACAAATGATGCCCAATGCCTCATGAACGCACAAACAAAAAATACCACTTAGAAAAGAGAAGGTTACCCTTTTTCTGGGGAGTCTTCAGTAGTGATGTCTTTACCTCATCTTCACTCTCCGATGAGTCACTGCTCACACTTTCTGAGCTCTGTTTCTGAACGGCAGACTTTGCAGTTGCCTTGAGCAGGTTTGCTGGGGCCTTCATGTCTGTGGCTTTTGAAACCTTGCCTAGGTGTGCCTTCACTGCTTCTGGCTTACCCAGAGTGCTCTTGGTGGATGTTTTCAGAGCAGTTTTGGGAACAGGAGCAGGAGTCTTCACTGCTTGTGCTTTCTGTCGTTGTAAAAAAACACACATCCCTCACTGTTGACAAATACTAGCAAACATCAGGTAATAATAATCCATGTCAAGGAGTCACTGGAAGATACAATACCACAAAATCTGAGAATTTTCCTTACAGTCTGTTGGTCGACTTCCAGCAACAATTTCATTTGCAACGTGTCACAGCACTGATTCATTAGATGTGTGTGGACATATGAGAACACTCAGACAATTGATGCAGCTCTTCAGGGGTAGCAGTTCAGCTACTTCTTGCTGAAAAATTCAGCTTTTGGTGGATTTATCTTCCAACCACTGCCTGTAAACCCCTCAGGCTGTCTGGACTGAAACATTGGCAAGCTCTGCAGTTACCTTCAATAGAGACGAAACCTATCAGCCATAGACCGGTCTGACCAGAGACGGAACACATCTGCTGAGCAAAATCAGCTGGATGATTCATAACACTGTGATCCCGGCTCGACAAAATTTTGTTCTTTTCCCTGACTCACTATTTTTCTGCACAGGAAAGCAAGGCAAATAGTATAAGCCAAAATTGAATTAAAATTGAGGACAATAAAATTGAGGACGGTTTACCTGGAGAGACTTCTGTGAGACATTCTGCTCTGTGTCACTGGACTCCTCACTCTCGGAGCCTGTCAGCTCTGGGTTGACAGCAGCTGGTTTTACAGCTGGTGACTTGGTCGTGGAATTCTTCACTGCTGAAGACAGATCAATAATAAAAAAATATTCCTTCAGTTTAAGTTAGTACAACACAACCAAGAACCTGACATTTGCTTGCATGGCTAGATTAGGCCGTATGATAACTTGCAGTGTGATTTCTGGTGTATTTGTAGTGGAATGGGCTCTAGCACCGACAGCAATAAAACCTCAAGTTATCTGAAAAAGTAAAGGACCATCCATACCAAGCTTCTGTTGCGTTTTGGCAGCTGGCTTCTCCTCCTCACTTTCCAAAGAAGAGTCACTGCTGCCGCTTTCTGTGCTTTTGACCTCCTTGTCCACCCAAGGTGTCTTGGGTGTGGCTTTAGCTGGGGACCCTGACGTAAAGCTGGGTACTGGAGTTCGAAAGGCTTTCTGGAAGTCAAAAGATCAGATCAGCATGGTTTACAGGTTAATACATACTGAGCTGAGCCAGAACAGACAATAGACAATGGATCTCCTTTCGGGAGATTTGCAGTTACCTGTTTGGGAGCCTCTTCCTCTGTCTCTGAGGATCCACTGTCACTCTCTGTGCTGTCAGGCTTCTTCTCCACTGCAGGTGCAAGTTTGGCCAGGCTGGAAGTTGGTTTTGTGGATTTTAAGGGGGATTTTAAAGTGGACACTTTTCCTGGAACTGGTTTCGATGAGCTTTGAGACTTAGCACTTAAGCAACCCAGAGTTTTCTGTGAAAGAATGTTACAATAAAGATCGCTAGTAATGACATCACAGGATACAGGATAGAGGAATAGATGAAAAGTCCTGACCTATTAAGTTCTTAGGTGGCAAAGAACTTCACATTTCATAAGAGACATCTTTTGTCGCCTTAATCTGTAAATCCTGAAAGGCAGTTTAGCTAATAAATACAAATAGAATTATAAAAATGATCGTTGTCTTTGGTTTGAATGGGAGTCTCATTGGTCCTGTGCCAGCCTTTGGGATGAGAACTGGTCTCTACAATAGCAAATAGAACCCTTTCATTTAAGATGATACAGTAAATGGGTGTTATTATTTAAATTATCAGTTACACACAAAATGCATCACAGAATGGATACATCTGGTTTAATATATCTCTTTGAATACAGGAGATGATTTACCAGCTCTTTATTAACACCTGAATATAACCTGAATATCTCAGTCTGTGGCTGGGTTTCTGAAAACACTTAACACACTTGGCACACTGCATTGTAAAGAAATAGATTTGAGCTTTCACTAAGGACTGTGAATGTCTACCGTCACATTCAAGGACACACCTGTGGAGCTGGGGCCTCCTGCTCACTCTCTGACGAGGACTCGCTGTCACTGCCTGAACTCTCTGGGGTCTTGGGCGTAGCTTGAGCCA